TAATCACTATTCTTAACTGTTTGTTTTCTTTTCTCTTAGTTTTTCCTTTTTCCTTCTTCTCAAATAGAAAAATAATGTACAATTAAAATAATACGCACTAAAATATTCCATTAGTAAAAATAATAGAATTATGTTTTCTTAAAAAAAATTGAAAAAAATTTTCAAGATTCCAAAAACAATTATTTTTAACATAAAATTAAATTAACATTAACACAAAATTAACATAAATCGTTAAATATGTACGAACATCTCTGCATATCCTTTTTAAACACATGCATTTACCTTTAATTAAATAGGTAAATGTATATTAAATTATTTACAAAAGTATTTGAAAAATGAAGGATTTATTCATTCGTAAACTCCTATGAATGTTACTGTGTCAAGTTTATAAGGTATTTCTCCCGCCTTCCTAGCGTGCCTTCGTGGTGTAGTGGTCAGCACACTAAGACGGTATTTCAGAGGTCCGTGGTTAGATTCCCGGCGAAGGTGTTTGCTAATTTTTCATCTCTCCTGCTCCCAAAATATACCTAATGACTCTACAGTGGCGCCCGAACTAAAAGGGTTGTGGATGATGACTCTCCACACCCAGGATTTGGCGATTGGGTCCCTAAAAACGCCAGTCGCCCTTTAAAAGGGGGAGTATATAAGGTATTTCTCCCACCTTCCTGATGTGCCTTCCTGGTGTAGTGGTTCTGCACACTGGGCCGGTATTCCAGAGGACCGTGGTTCGATTCCCGGCGAAGACGTTTGCTTATTTTTCATTTTGCCTGCTTCCAAAAATACCTAATGGCTCTACATAGGAGCCCGAACTTAAAAAGTGTTGGATGAGGATTCTCCACACCCAGAAACTTGCGATTGGGTCCCCTAAAAACCCCAGTCACCCACTAAAGGGGGAGTATATAAGGTATTTCTCTCGCCTTCCTAGCGTGCCTTCGTGTTGTAGTGGTCAGCACACTGAGCCGGTACTTCAGAGGTCCGTGATTCGATTCCCGGCGAAGGCGTTTGCTAATTTTTCATCTCTCCTGCTCCCAAAATATACCTAATGACTCTACAAGTTACTGAATATATCTACATTTATAATGATTATAAATATTATCTAAATATACAATGACCCTACATTTAATTGTAATCGTAAGTTTAAATTCTGTTGTCAAATATATTTATAAAATTATTTAAGGAAGAACTGTTCCTATTAAAAAACAATCTATTAAAAATTTCTGCAAAGTACAGTATATGAGATATCTACTTGAGGAAATAATTAAGTAGAATTTTTAGAATGTGTATATTTCAATTCAAGGGTCAGAAAAAAAAACTGATAAGTATTAAAAGTGTGTAATGTGTATAAGGGCCAATTTTCCTTAGAAAGTCATTCACGAAGACGTCTTCCCTTAGGCAGATAGCCCTCATGTGCTTTGCCGTAATAAAATAAACTAAATCAAATTTATCAACTAAGGACTTCAGCAAAAACTTAACTCTCGCTGTTTCGGGCTGAAATTAGTAGATCAATTAATTATAAATCAAATTAAATTATTAAAGACAATGGATCTGCCTATCCTAATTCGCCGTCTCATATCAACAAATGAAAGCTATCTCATCAAATGTTAGAGCAGCACTTCAGCAAGTTGAATGAGCATTATAACGCTCCAGGTCTAAATAGTTTCAGCGCTCTCTCGCTAAAATTTAGATACTCATTATTTAAACTCACTTAGTTTGCATTTTCTGTTGGAGTAGACAAAACAATAGAAGTGTCGGAAAGATTCAACATAAGAAATAGTTTTTCTAATTGAAAAACAACCGCTATAAAATAAAACAATGAAAAAATTGCTGGTACTATGAAAAAACGTTTTTGGAAAGATATTAATGTTGTAAGACAAGGATGTCAAACTCGCGGCCCGCGGGCCGCATGCGGCCCACAACAAATATTTTTGCGGCCCGGCCAATATATCGGCAAATAATAATATATAATAATAAAATAACATATCGACGAAGAAAAAAATGAAATGTTTACTGCTAAGTAATTAACGATAATTTATTCAGTGTTGTTAGATTACTCACAGCGAGCTGACACACACACTACTTAAATTACAAATGCGTGTGAGTAGCTTGCGTTCAGCTACCTTCGGCTTTTGGGGGACACGTGCACTCAGAACTTGTACGCATCCCCCGATAGCCGAATGTGGCCGAACTCATGGTCTCAGTTTTCCAATCATAGTTTTGTACGATATATTGGTGCATGCATGTGCATGCACTTTGCTTTATTATTAATTATTACTTAATTCATATTGTTACGGATTTCATAGTTATTTATTTATTTAGTTTTTTTTTATTTAGAATTGTAATTAGATTTGCTTCATGTTGCCTTAGCAACGCAGACGATTTTTGAAGACAGAAGGTTAAAAAAATAGAACAGCGCGTGCATTTAATACCTAATAAATAAATATCTCGTAATTGCTGTTGCCATCCACAAAAATCCAGATATTTATAGATGTTTCCAGTATATTCGAGAAATTAATTATAAAGCTTATAAAAGCCGAGAACAAACAACTCATCTCAGTAGTAGCTGTAGTTCTAGCGAACTGTTTGTTTACTTAATGCTGTGATTGATTTGTAGCGATTTCGCTGTGAGATAGAATTAGTTTCTCTGTTTTGAATTGACTTTTGTTGCTAAACGTTTGACATTTTGTGATATTGTTAGAATATTTTTGAAGAAATATTGCAGCATTTTGATTTATCTCTTGTGGAAAGAATAAATTTTTATTAACTTTTTAACGTTAACCGTGTTTATCCAGCCCTTTGTATTCAGTATGTCTATATCAAAACCAAGTGGTAGTAAAATTAAACGAAAAATCGCTGACGAACATAGAATATTCCAAGTAAAATGGGAATTAGAATATTTTTTGCTGTGAAATAAAAGATAAAATAATCTGCTTGATATGTAATAATACTATTAATGTACCAAAGTTATATAATATTAAACGTCATTACGAACAACACAAATCGAAATATAACAATTACGAAGGATTAATGAGAGAAGAAAAGTTGAAAGAGAGCTCAAGTTAGGAGTGAAAAAGCAACAGTCCATGTTTAGTAAAGTATTGCAAGAAAGTGAAGCGGCGGGTACGGTACATGCAAGCTACGTCTTGTCCGAGTTGATAGCTAAACATTCGAAGCCTTTTACTGACGGTGATTTCATCAAGGAATGCCTAATGAAAGCTGGAGAAATTGTTTGTCCTGGAAATGTGAAGGCTTTTCAATCAATTTCATTGTCTCGAAATACAGTTGCGGAAAGAGTTACTGATTTAGCCGCGAATTTAAGTGATCAGATCAAAGCAAAATCATCTAGTTTCGAAAGTTTCTCCATTGCCTGTGACGAGAGCACGGACATTAGTGGCAAAGCTCAATTAGCAGTGTTTCTTCGTTCTTGTGACAAGAATTTTAACATTTTTGAGGAATTACTGGAACTAATACCGATGCCTGGTATACACAGGTACAGGTGACAGCAGGCCGGACACCGGACGGCTACAAGACTACTGGGTGGTCCGGACCTGCAACTATCTGTAGCTGAAACTTTAAATAGACATAAATATAGTAGTTTACAAATAGACCTGATCGTGTAATCGCACATGCGTCAATGTACATAATGCAACACATAAGATACTGTAAATTCAAAGATAGACACAATACACCAATACACATAATTGTGACACACTAATACGCTATACACCAGTATTCTATACACTAATATACTATACACCAGTATACTATACAATAATTCACTAATATACTATACACTAAAAGATAGACACAATACACCAGTGCGCACAAATGCGACACACTAGTATACATTGACACTAATACATAAGTACCATGTACACAAAAATACACATAGGTAAGATAATACAATTATTCTATTACACTACTGTAACATACACGTGGATACAATACACTGAGATAGGTAGAAACTTACGCTAAGTTACAATATATAAAAAAGTTAAGTATTGATACACATAGATACTGCGTAAATTCTATATATTTTAAAATACACTTTTGTGTAAATATTAATAATACACAGTACTACTACAGGTGTTACTCTGTATGTTCTTAGATCTTGAAACATGACAACATGATGCTAGAATATATTTATAGACACAATAAACCAATGACACGATGCGTCAATATACATAAATGTTTCACACTAATATACGAGTACTATACACTAAAAGATAGATACAATACACCAATGCGCATGCGACACACTAATATACTTTACACTGATATACATTGACACTGATACGTAAGTCCATGTACACAAAAATACACGTGAATTAGATTATACAACTATTCAATTATACTATTGTAACATACACGTGGATACAATACACTGATAATACGTGAATACAGTACACGTAAATAAGATTAAACAATTATACTATACTACTGTTACATACACGTGAATGCAATACACTGAAATATGCAGGCATATACGCATATGAGAACACTAAATACTACGTGGATTCGACATATTATGAAGTGCACATTAATGTGAATATTTAATACATGCCTACTACAGGGGCTGAGCCTCTTAAAAACTTGACAACATGATATTAGAAATTTACACTTTGGCTGGTAGAGATGTACATAAGAAACAGGCGGACATAAACTGTAAGAGAATTCTAGACTGCACTATACACTTGTCTATGCATTATTCTCTTGGTGCGTGTACGATGGGTACAGTGCATGCTGAGGTACGTTGTTAATGCGTCTGTGGCACGCTGAGCATATATGCTAGCGAGGTACTCACTTTGCCACGTATGTTACAGAAACTGGCATGTGCGGCACCTATGCAGGGCTGCAGAGCTCCTGCCCCAGTACTTCTAAGTGATCCATGATCTTTTTGATTTTGTCCATAAGTCGTGGTTGTTTCAGCACGAATCTTTTAAAGGCGGCCACATTATTCGACGGGAGTTTAACGTGCCATTGTGTGGTGAGTTGACACTCCGTCAGGTAGTGGTCGGGGGACCCGATTTTTCCGCAGACACATAGGTCTGTGGAGGATTATATTTCTCTCTGCGAAGTAGGTCGGAAACAGCCCATGTCCTGTGATGAATCTTGTTAAGAAGGGCGCAGATATGAGTCGTTCCGTGTCCACTTTTCGTATGAATTCGAAAGTTCGCCGACTCTGTGTTCCATTCCTGCTGCCACTGCGACAGAGCTGACTGCCAAGTCTGCCGCTTGAGAAGTGACTTTGGTAAAGGTGGGTCTATTTGCACCGCATCCCGGTCCTGTGCTGCCTCTTTTGCCAGGGTATCTGCGCGTTCGTTGCCCTGGGCACCAACGTGCGGACTCGTATTTCTTAGTGTCTCCTGAATTTGGGACACGAGTGGGGAGGTGTGGCGTGGGTCGTTGATGGCGTACAGTACCGATAGGCTATCAGTATAGATTGTAAAATCTTCTGCTGTGGTAGTTTGTGCCCATTCTATTGCTTTCAGCAAAGCAAGGGCTTCCGCCTGGAAGACCGAATTGTGCGGAGACATATGGCACTTCCAGGTTTGCACTTCAGTGCCATTATGGAAAACTGTATATGCGCTGCCGACTGCATTGTCCATCTTCGACCCATCCGTGTAAATCATGAAGCCCGGGCCCTCTATGGATGGTGGTAATTCAGGGGCGAAGTGAGTCACAACACCTTTCCCGTAATCTGAAGGGTGCGTTTTAAGTTTTGAACTTTTAAACTCGAAGTCTGCAGGGTCATAGCTGAGCTCCCCAAATCGTGCTTTTCTATGCAGTTGGGAAAACATTGTAATTGCGGCTTCCTGCTGTGCTTTTATTGGTAACGGGATTAGTCCCGCCAGAACTGCTGCGGCTGCTGTCGACGTTGTTCGATATGCCTTTGTAATCGCCAGTACGAAAGGTCTTTGGGAACTTTGAAGAATTTTTTGTTTCCTGCAGGTCATGGGGTTTGCCCAGATTGCCGCCCCGTAGATCATGATCTTTTCTGCTACTGCAGAGTATAGGAGATCTTTAGAATATGGGGACGCAGTCCCCATTTGGAGCCTTGCATTTTCCTTAGATTCATGGCTATTTTTAATGCTTTTGTTCTTTGCGATCTTAAATGGGGGATCCAGGTAAAGCCCTCATCTAGTATGATACCTAGGAGCTTCATCTCTTTAACTCTTTTAATCCTGTGACCTGCCATCGTAATTGTCGGGTTTCTTTGTAAGGTCTGGCCCGGTTTATGGTAGATGATATATTTAGATTTTGAAATGCGAGATGTTAAGCTTCTTAGCCTTGCAAAGGTCATAGAACATGTCAATGACTTCCTTGCAGTTTTGTTCAAGGATAACGCGGCTTTTCCCACTGACCACGAAAGTGGCATCATCTGCGAAGGCTGCGACTGTTGTGTGAGCCGGCCATTCTGCTTTTAGAATCGAGTTAAATGTTAAGTTCCACAGGTCTGGACCTGCGCATGATCCCTGTGGGCAGCCTCTTTGCTGTGGCCTGGTAATTATTCCACCATTGTGAACCGCGATGAAGATGCGGTTACTGAGATAACTTTTAAAAATCTGTAGGATGTTATTTGGGGATGTTAGCTGCATGTAAAGCTTCTAGGATTGCCGGCCACCACAGGGAGTCAAATGCACTTTGCAGATCCAGACTGAGGACTGCCACATGCTGTTGTTCTTTGCGCAGTCGCTTGACTTCCTCGCAGACGTGCTCCAGGACATTAAGCGTAGAGCGATGCTCTCGAAAGCCATATTGTGCATCTGAGGGAACACCATTTTTTGCTATATGATGCTTCAACCTGAGAACGAGAAGCTTCTCGAAGAGCTTTCCCAGGACTGGCAGAAGGCAAATTGGTCTAAAGGACGAAGGATCATTGGGGTCTTTGCCTTCTTTCGTAAAGAGTATCAGGTTCAATGTTCCGTCTAACCTTCTTCGGGAACATACAAGGACCTGACTCGGAACAGAGAGCTTACTAAAGCTATGTTCAAAACTGTGGGAAGTAAACAGGATACACAAGAAGGGTATACAAAACCCTTTATTTTTCTCTATTTACAATAACTTCCGTACTTCGGAATACACAGACCCGCTACTTGGGGTCTAACGTAAAAATATAAAAATAGAACTAAACTCTAATTTAACTTTAAAATAATAAACGTGGAAGATTGGCCTTATATTAACAGGAAGCCGTATGTAGTACAGAGAACTGTGAACACTACAATACGTTTAAAATTTATCAAGAGGATTAAAACCTCTAGCCTGGAAGGCAACCAGCAACTGAGTAAACTTCTAAGGTAAGCGGCCTGCTTCGACTCACTGCTTCCTCTCTCTCGCTTGGCAAAAAGCCACAACTTAAATACTTGGCGTTCGCCAGACAAACTTTGTATAAAAACCTTAACGCTTATAATTCTGGCCGGAAGTAGAAAATAAGAAGTGATAGTAAATATTTAAAATAAAATAAACGTTAGTAAAACTTAAGATCCTTACATACTTCCCGCCAGAGTTAATTAGTTTGAAACTGAGGTGTAAAACGACCTTGTTGAAAACTTTTAGCTCTAGAATCTAACGCGAGGCCAATCTTTTACAAACATTTTTCGCTAGAAACTAGAAATTTAAAAGAAAGAAAGAAATTTGTTTTTACAATAGCAGCTCCCAGGACACAATTTTTTCATCTGTACTGCATCTAAACAGGAGAGCTTTATTCAAATCTGGGTTCCTTCCAGAGATCTGGAAGGAAAACTAGTTTTAATGAAAATGTTACAAAATGAAATGGCAAGTAACATGTATAATTATATTTCTCTTAACATTCTTATTTCATTCATGACTATTTTAATTATCTCTCCCCGTGCTCTCTGACATGTGTTGTAAAAGAACACCAAACACGAATGTGTTTATGTCTATGTGTTCAACACTTCCTCCTACAATCAAAACACTAACGTGTTAAAAATTCAACATACCAAGACCTCGTAACACACCCTAATTTCAACTCTAAACCCTGAGGTACTATTCTGAAAGTGGCTAACTCTGAAGTGTAGCGTCAGAGAGCCTAACTACATCATTCAACCTTTAACACATATTCACCATGATTTAGTCTTTTTACAGTCACACGAATAAAAAAAAATTTTAACATTACTTTCACTTTTACCATATCACGGTATTTCTTAACATTTAAAATAACAGTTCACATTGTATATAAGAACATATTAACATGCCGTTAATTTTACACATTTGAAAACATACATTAGTAGTACATTGTTAACTTCTATTCTTTTCAAAGCAAGTGCCAATTCTTTCTACATTGAAATAATACATTTCAAAAAGTCTTTCAGACTAAAACTTCTTTCTTGCCAGAAGGTTTTAAATAAATATTAATACAATAACTTTTACAATATTTAAGTCTTTACACAACGCTATTATACATCAACTTTAGTTTTACGCGCGAGTAATTTGAAAAAACATAATACCAAAAATCGGTAACAACTCATTTCTCGCCCTTTTGGCGATAAAGGTAGACCTCGCATGAGGTAAAACTTCTTGAAATCTGCCACTAGCAGTAAGAATGAAAGATTAACTTAAGTTTGCAAAGTAACATAAAATTTTACTTATCTTTGTGATATTCGGACATTCTTTTCTGGGCCCAGTCCTTAAAGGTAGTGCAGATAGTTGTTTGATTAATCCTCCTTCTTGTACGGGCTCTCCCTTCAGTGTCTTCCTCTAGATGCTTTCTTTTTTCTCCAGTTCGGTCACCCTTGAATACCTTCTTTTTCGCTTCTGCCTGTGGTCTTGGTCGTTTGATGGCAGCTGGTCTTGGCGGAACCGGGAAAACTTCTTTCGTGTTCCTGCTTGGACCTCGTTGCTGGCCGTTCAAATTTTCCTTGTAACTTTCTCCGCCGCTGATGGCCCTTCCGCAGTTCGGCGACATTTGCTGCGGAGAGTCTGTCGGATGAGTAGATCTTCCGTTTTAGAGCCGGGTTATAGTTGCCGTCATTTCTCCTGGTTCTTTGCATACGTCGTCCTTCTCCCTTCTTCATTCTGGGGGTGTGTCGTGAACTCTCTTTTCTGGACGGTGGGTGGAACGGCTTCTTTTTCTTGCTACCTTCAATTTTTCCGCGGGGAAACTTTCTTTTCACTTGCTCCTGCCTCTTAATGGCTTGCCCTTGTACTTGTCGTTGTTCCACCTCTGGAGCTTGTGCCTGCGGTGTCTGCCGTGCCGGATCCTGCAAAAGACCTGAAAATATTTGCATTTTATTACGATCATAGTAGGGTTTGATTTGATCAATGTTTGCGGAGCAGGTTTCACCATTTCTAGCTTTTAACACTACTACAGCGTGAGTTACTTTTTCTATGACATATGGTCCTTCAAATCGTGGAAAAAATTTGGCAGTTTTATCTTCTGGTGCTGAAGAAAGTGAATGCTTAATTTTTAAAACTTCATCCCCTACTTTATAAGTTACTCCCCGTCGTTTCAAGTCATAATAGAGTTTCTGTTTTCTCTGTGCTACTTCAGTATTCTTCTTTGCTTCCTTAATTAGTTTTTCTATATCACCCATTTTAAAATTCTGGGGCTCTTTGTTGCAACATAAAATAATTTATCTAACGGCGTTATAATCATTTCTGCCTAAAAATAACTCAGCAGGAGTTTTGCCCGTTGTATCATGTTTTGCGGTCCTAAGGGGCGAAAGCAAATTCATTGACATAGTTATCCCAGCTTTTATGAAAATTTTTAACCATAACTACGGATTAATTTTCACTATATTTCTATTGACCCGTTCCGCTATATTTGATTGCGGCCGATACGGGACCATTTTTAAATGACGTATGCCCAGTTTTTGGCACATGTCTTCAAATATATTACTTACAATTTGAGGACCATTATCCGATATAACTTTTAGGGCGCCCCGTATTTTAAAATATATTTATTTAAAATAGAATCAGTAACTAATTTCGCGGAGGCTCGTTTTAAGGGAACAATTTCGGTCCATTTACTAAAATGATCAACCATAACAAGGAGATAGCGACTTTTATTTAACTGACTTTTTGGGAAAGGGCCCAATAAATCGATGCCAATTATTTCATTTGGAAATTCGGATTTAATACTATTTAGAAACCCGGCCGGGCGGAAATTAATATAATTAACTGCTTGACATGTTGGGCAGGACTGGACATACGCCCTTGTTAACTTTTGCAGTTCAGGAAAATAGACTGCCTCGCGTACCGGTTGGAAAGTTTTTCGAATACCAGCATGGAAGCTAAAGGGCTGTCATGGAGCTCCTGCAGGATATTTAATCTAAGACTAGCTGGGATAACAGGTCGAAATTCGTTGTTGGAATTCGTAGTTTTTGTATAAAATAATAGACCATCTATTAGTTCGTAATGGGCCGCCCTATTTCTTATCGCCACAATATCTTGGTGGCTAAAATTTTCAGGATCCTTTAAATACTCATAAATGCTTCCAAACTCAGGATCCTTTCCCCAGTTCGGTTATACAGTTTCTCGGGAATTTATTGTACATGCTGTGAGCATTGCCACCTTTACGGTATTACCTTGTTCATCTATTTTAATTCTTGATAGGGCATCTGCTACGATATTTTCCTTTCCGGGGGTATGCTTGATTACCAGATTATATTCTTGTAGCTTGAGTGCCCATCTTATTAACCTTGGGGATAAGTTTTTCCCTGAGTACAATCTAGTTACCGCCGCATGATCAGAGTACACTGTTATTGGCGCCTTTCCAAAATAGACTCGGAACTTTTGCACTGCTAACAGAACTGCAAGTGCCTCTCTCTCGGTCGCGGAATAGTTTCTTTGTGTTTGATTTAAAGTTCGGCTAAAAAATGCCACGGGCTGCTGATTTGCGAAAGTACCGCTCCTACCGCATAATCCGAAGCATCCGCTGAAATTTCTAAATTCTCATCCTTTTCAGGAAATTTCAACTCAGGGGCTTGCGTTAATGCTTGTTTTAATTTTTCGAAAGCACTATTGGCTTCGGCCGTCCAAGAGAATCTTGCCTTTTTCCTTTTTAATTTTAACAATGGCTCAGCGATAG